TGTGTGTGTGTGTGTGTGTGTGTGTGTGTGAAAAATAGTAGGATTTATAAAAAGTTGAAAATAAAGAAACTATAATTATATAACAATACACATGTAGTGATTGATAGTGCTTCAGCCTGAGGACATTGTGTGTGAACGAAAGCAGGGCAAAGATCACAGCAGCGATCTCTGTTTCTCTATCTGTCAGTGACACTCCTGAAGTGTGTGTGTGTGTGTGTGTGTGTGTGTGTGTGTGTGTGTGTTGTGTGTGTGTGTGTGTGTGTGTGTGTCTCCCCCTGAGAGAGACAGATAGGCCGCGGCTGTAAGAACACAGACCTGTGGCTCTGTCCCAGCTGCTCAGAGCCTCATATTTCATGACCTTGTGCGCCTTTCCCCCGTTTTGTTCAACTTTCAATCCAACTGGGACACTTTCTGCCACAGAATTTGACGAAAAACAAATGAAAACAAACATCTGCATCCATGCAGGTAGAGGAATCAACAATATTTGTTGTTGTGGTCGCCCGTTGTTCACACTTGACATTCTGGTGCGGGAACAAGATCAGAGCCTCGGACCATTAGGGAGAGTTAGAGTCCTGCTACTGCTAACAAGATGGCTCTCTGTGTCTTGTTCACCGTTAACAGGGCACATTTATTTTAGTTCTTTTTTTTTTTTTTCTTTGCTTTGAGCCACGTGCTGGGTTCTCCTCCCACTCCTCATGTCACCCAGCGGCCAGTGTGCCGGCTCTCTGTCCCTTCGTCTACAGCTGTTCCTGTCCTTCCTCCTTCACTTCCTTGTGATGTTTTTTTTAATAAAAAAAAAGAGAAAAAAATGTGGGTAAAGGCATCACCATCTGTCAGCCAGCTGGCATCCTGTATATAATCTACTAGAAAAAAAAAAGAATAAACATGAAAATTATATTACACAAAAACCAGACGGAAACGACCTCCAAATCCTGCATAGGCTGCTGCCGAAACGACAGATCATTTTACTGTTTTAATTAACGGAGTAAAAAGATGGTATAAAAAAGTGGGGGGGAAATAAACTGAGATGTATTTCCACTGCTGCGAAAAATGTAATATGAAAGCCTCCTGCTTACTGCAGCGTACTGGGTAAACAGCAACATTTTAGACTTTGTAAAATATATTGCACTTTTGGACTAAAAGCCATCTCCCGTTAGCGTTCAATTTGACTAGACTCATGAGACATTTTATATGAAAAGCAGACAATGAAGCAATTTTTTTAAAAGTCTACTTGAATGTGTTGCCCTCAGCACTACTATTCATTCTTGTCATATGGCTTATTTACACTTGGATAACAGTGCTGTTCATCTTCATTGTGCTATATTTATGTTTTTCTTCTGTTTCTGCATGTCTTATGCAAAGATTGAGCTTTTTATTCAGTGAAATAAAAACATACTGAACGACTGTAGGCCTGTTTTCACTGTTCATGTCTTGTTGAATGTCAAAGAAGAGTATGACAAATCTTTCAACTGATGCATACCTTTTCACAAAACACAACACCAGGTCGTGTATATTACGCGTGCCAACAATTTGTGCTATGTGCCGGCCATCGCTGACACGCAGTGGGTTGATGTGCCAGGAACAGGTTGAGTGAGAGAGAGAGGCAACAGTCGGGGCTGGGAACATACACGACAGGTGTGCACTGCATATGTGGTCACATGACGCCTATAAGGCAGATTAGGGCCCAAACAGATGAAGCGCTGCTTAATGGCAGCTTTTATTAAGTTCACAAAGCGTGGAGGGGGGGGGGCAGAGGAAAAGCAGGTGGCTGGGCCCGGGCACTCTGAGATGAAGACAGATATTGTACAGTGGAATCAGTGGAGTGGCCACTGTGGAAGGATTTATGAAGATTTGTCCGCTGTGGACTCACCGAGTCCTGCGTAATACAGCCAGAGAGGGAAAGCTGGAGAAGCTCAGAGAGAACAATGTGCCAGCCAAGAAGCCAGAGAGTGCTATCATATAAGATGAGATGAAACTATTATAATACCTATAACAAAATTAAAAGAATGCACAGAAATAATGACAAATGTAATATAATATGGAGGAACATGTTAGGTGTACATGAAAGTAAAAAAAACATTATAAAAGATCAGCTGGTTGCGAGACATTTGACATGTATTATTAAATAAATGCACATTAAGAAAAACAATGCACTTCTAATGACGACAAACCAACTACCATACTGTATAACTATCAAACATATCATTACGTGGTACTGGTGTTGAAGACATTAAGACTGTACTATTATAATATATATAAATAGTGAATATTTACCTACAAATATATAAAGAGAAAAATACATAATCATATACATTTTTCTTAAACTCAATGTGCTGCACGAGAAAGGAAGGAAAAGGTGATATTGTGTGTAATCACTATCTCATGAGCATATTTGAGCGTAAAGGTGTCATATCAGCAGAAACTACAAATGGCTCAAGATCATTAAAGGGAGGCCGTGATGATCTGAGTCTGTGTGTACTGTGTGTAGTGTGTGTACTGTGTGTCCGGGCCTCAGACAGAGACACTTGAGTGAGATGTGATGTCAGTTTAGTCTCCATCTCTCTGCAGAGCTGCCTCCAGGCACACACCATTTAAACAGACAGACTGTTCACTGGTTGTTAATCTGCCATGTCCCTCATTCTGGGTCATGCTTCCAGACTCTCGTGATTTTAGCTTTTTTTAATTTTGAAAGATACATTTCACTCATATTTGGGTGGAGTCAAACTAGATTAACAGTTATTCATTTATTGAAAAATGACATCATCAGGCATCAGAGCAGGGGTGTCAAGTGGGGGGGCCAATTGCCCCCTTCAAAATATCATAAAAACCGACAAAGTATAGCATGTCGAAAAAAAACAAAAACAAACATAATATAGTATGTCAAAAATATAATATAAAAAGGTAGTATGTTGAAAAATAAAAAAGGGACAACAATTTGTCGAAGATATCATAAAAAAGAAAGGACAAAAAACGACATAGTATAGAAAATATGAATATAGTATGACGAAAACATCACAATAAAATGATATATTCTAGTATGTTAAAATTAATAAAAAGTCATAGTAAAGTATGTTTTAAAAGCGTATTCAATTAAAATTATTGAATGTCATAAAGATGTCATAGTATAATGCCATGCCTTTAAATAAAGTTATATCATAGTATGTTTAAAAGTCATAAAAAAGTCACATTACTCTTTGTCAAAACAGTCAAAAGATTTATAGTATGGCATAATATGTCACAAATTAAAATCAATATAAATAACCGAAACACATAATCACAATGTACTGAGCTATTGGAGAGCAGAGACAGTTTTTCAACTGCAAGGAATCAATTGGCTTTATTGTGGTATGGACACTCCTAGCTACATCCTAGTTCTGGCAATCAAAAGTCCCAGGCTACTTCAACAACACAACATACAATTTATTTAACGTACAAATCAATTAGACATAAAATAGTGCAATAACCTGTTTAGCCTGAGAGCCCCCTGTGGAGGGGGCTGCGGGTTTTTTTTCACGAAACTGTGTCTCAGGGCTTCTTAATATTTAAAAACCTATTAATGTGTAGTACCAGATTAACGGGAAGAAACTCAGCTAACTGACGATACGAACCATTTTTACCAAAACATAACACAAGTCTCATAAGAAGCGTCTAAATGACCCCTGAGCGGAAAAATGCTAACGCACTTGGCACAGAACTCAAGGTAAAGATACCCTTATTACTTATCGTAACTGCACATACAAGATATCCGATTAAAGATGAGATTCCACAGATTATATAGGTATTAGTATCAATACTGAGCGATCAGAACTTGCGACATGGGAATCAAATACAGACAACACACAACGTAGCTTTAGGTAGCAAAACACGGAGATATGCTCACCTTTAGCTGTTATTCTGATCAAAAGTTGTGTTCAATGGCATTAAACGATAAAAACGTGGCTGAAGGTTAATCCATAGGTTAATCCAATGTGTTTGTCACTTTGACCAAATTATTGATAATCCATAATTCCATTTTTATGTAAAAATCAGAGAATAAATATTAGCTGCTAATGGTAGCCACCAGAGTTATCGCAGCTTCCGGTTTTGGCTACGCGTCACTCTCACTCCTGAGTGGCGAAGTCAAGCCCATCTGCTTCCGGTCCATGGGACCTTATTTCGGAAAAATTATGTATTGAAGTCAATGGAGAGAGAAAACGTATCTTTCGATCCCGTTTGAATTGTGCCAAACATATGATGTTTGTCAATGTTAAAAAATAATTTCCATGTCAAAAAAGTCAGTTTGTCGTAAAACTGTTGAAATATAAGACTATGAAAAATATGCAACTAGAAAGACTACAAATCCCAGAGTCGAGTAAGTGATGTCACAATTGTTTTCCTCCACTGAGAGATAGTTATTAACTAAGATCAGCGCCATATAGATATAATCCATCTGTATGGCGCTGGCTAAAATAAAATAATATAGGGGTGTAACGGTATCCGTATTTGTCCCGTACCGCCACGGTTCGGACGTCACGGTTCGGCACATGCAGTCACACGGCGAATACGCCTTTTTTACGAGTGGGAAAAAAGTCTTGTCACTCAGTGGGGTATTACACTATATATAATCCAGGGGGCGGTATTGCGCCTAAAAGCCAGCCGCCCGTAAATAACAAATGAAGAACAACACAACAAAACGAACACAATACATGAAGAAGAAAAGTTAGTAGCTAACTAGCTATGGTGAGTTCACACAACACACAGGAGCTAGAAGAACCACCTGCTTCTTTTAGATCAGGTGTGTGGGAACATTTCGGGTTCCCTGTGGACTACAACAATGATGGGGTGCGAGTTGTGGATCGGACGAGGACGGTGTGTCGGCGTTGTTCGACAGCGGTGCGGTATGCTAGTGGTAACACGTCA